AACCATACAAGTTTGTTGGGTATGTATCAATCGCTATTTTCGATACTTACTACTAGAACATGGACTCGCACCCCTCTGGCAATGCCTGCACCATTTTTGTGACAACTCAGTGCTTTTTAATCACTTTTCCACTTTTCCGGTTTTCCAGTAGGACACTAATACCAGGTGAAGAAAGTTGGTTTTTGTATTTTTTATTTTTTTTATTATTAAAGTATCTTTAGATTAATTTTTATATATTTTAAAATTATTTTTTTCAAAAAATTTTAGAAGAAAATTATTTATATTAATCTAATATATTTAAAAAAATTAATTTTTTAAATACTGATTTCAAGACTTAAGTTTTAGTATCCAACTCTTAGAGTTAATTTGTAAAAAAAGAGATTATGGTTATAATTATTATTTAATTTGTTAAGATTATTAATAATTGCCAAATTTTTATTTTAATTTAACTATTACAAATGATTGATAATTAATAAAATAATTAATATTTATTATTTAATAAATTAAATCAATTTATAAATAATATTTTTAAATATCATATAGACTAACTATTTAAAAAAATTATAAATTAATAAAATTATAAATAAATTAGTAGCTTTAATAATTTAGATAATGATAATAATTTAGCTAAAAAATATATATAATTCACGCTGCTATTGTGTAGTTTTAAATTAAACCAAATTAAACACCATAGACTTCAAATGAATTCCACAAAAATTTAATCAAAACAAACACAAATATATAGAATTAAAATTATGAAATATAAAATTAAAAATGAATTTCACAATTGAAAATATCATTCATCGTTATAAAGTTAAAATTTAAGTTAGAGGTATCACATCCATACGGGATAATATAACAAATCCCAAATGTATCCTAAATAATTTAAAATGTGAAAACACGAAAAGAAAAAGTGGAAATAATTAAGGGCTAATAACACCAATAATATATTGAACAACAAACTGTGATTGTTGTACACAAAGTACACATATGCAAACTATAACAATACAGGGGCCATATTTTAAAGATATTTATAAAGTTCGCCTTAAAATTTCTAACCGTAAATTATTATAAAGATGTTTACACCAAATCAAGATAATCAAAAGTTAGGGGCTTAAACAGATCGGCGGCCTCAGTCTCAATGAACTCCACCTGTCTCACCGGAAGGTGCACATACACCACCCAGTCGCCATTCTTCATCGGACTTGGCATCGGCATCACGTATCCGGCACTCCCTCCCCATGGAAAGTGGTATGACCCGAACGTTGGCGGGCCCCACCCAAAATTCACCTTCGAAACAGGGAAACGTTGTCCGGAGGAGACGACGAATGCGGGTCCCTCGTTGCTCCCACTTGCATAAATCTTTGCCACAGCCGGCTCCGGCCGGTGTGCCTCAACCCAATCAATCAGGCCTAAGAAATGCACCTTTGTTACTGCATTTTTGATAAAATCATGGACCTCCTCTGCCACCCAAGACAGAGGCTTTTCAATCAGTGCCTTCACTTTCTCGCTGCCGAAGGGAATTGACAGGACGTTTCCAAAATATGTACCCATTTGTGATTCTTTATCCGTACATCCTTCACTTAATCGAGTCCTCCCATCCACCACTATCCCCATCTTAGACGTCTTGGCGCTATCTCCTGCGGCGGAAATCGCCACCATTTTCCATAAGAAGGCACTGAAAGACTCAAGCTTGGTCCTTTTGGACCCACCGCGGCTCGCTAGACATTGAAGCTCGTCGAGTTGGGCCGCAGTGACATAATATATGCGACTGATAAGATGATCATCAGATGGTTGATTGTTTTCCTTTAGCGGTGGCAATGTGGAAATAGGCACGTACAAATCGTCCAGGGAGGCATCTATGCACCCTGGATGCCTGGGATTCAGCATAGATCGCCGGAAGGATGGCAGTAGGGATATCGGCTTGGACTGAGCCATTTCTGCCCATGAAACAAGAAACATGTTGGCGGAATAGGCATCAGCAATACGGTGATCAAAAGTGCACGCCACCACTATTCCGCCGCATTTAAGCCCCGTTGCCTAAAATCATTTGCTTCCAAAAATTAGTACATCAGAAAAGAAAAGAAAAAAATTGAAATGTGCTCTAGTGACCATTGATGAGGTATTGGCTCCAGTGGTTCTTCTTCTATCAATCGAAGGTAAACTCTAAAATTGCAAACTTAAAAAAAAAAAAAAAAAGTAATGTGCATATATAAAAAAAAAACTTTTTTATTTTACAATTTAAATTCCAACCACACTGTAAAACAAAATTGTTAAATGAAGAGGACCTTAATATCAGGCCACGTATTATGTTGTGTTACATGCTAATTAGTTAGATTAACAGTGGATTTGAGTTAAATTTCAACTGCCATGTGCGCCGCAAATTACCACAAGAGGGTTGAAGTGCGGCTATATTTTTATAATTTCCCAGAATGGACAAAAGAGACCATAAAGTTTTCTTTTTAATAAACAAAATGTTTGTAAATTTAATTTCTGATGTTCTAATGGTTAAGAGCTGGGCTCCATGTAAGTGATGCCCGATGATCTTTACTTCTAACTTTGAAACGATTAATTATCGGGAAGGAGGTTTAGGTTAGCTTCTCCATGTTTGTTTAGTCCAAATTTGAGCTAGACCCTGTTTTCAACCCAACTTCTATTTTTCCAAACCAGAAACTCTCCATCTTTGTGCCTTTTTCTGGAATTAAAATACAATCGAAATATTGCTGAAATACATGGTGTAGAGGATGATTATTTTTTACCTGAACTGCAAGCACTCCGTGCTTCTTTTTTGGTACTAACTTGCCTTCAATGCTCTCATCAGGATTATAGAGGTTGAGGTTTTGAAGTTCAACATCTGCATAGGCCTCGAAGAAATCCACCCCTCTGTTGTTACAGAGAAGCTCAGGTTCACCGATGGAGTTGGGTACAACCTCACCGGCAAAAGCATAGTAGGAGACCAGAGCCTGGGCCATGGCCTTCTTGAGGATACTAACCATGGAACCAAAACACAGGGTATCCCCTGAAACTGGCTTCTTGTAACAGAAGAAAACACCCACGTCGAGCGGTGGCAGAAGCAGGTCGAGGTTGGAGAGCGACAGCCAATGCTCTTGCAATGGCAACACCGCCACCACAACGTCCTTCTTGCCCACCGTCACCGTGAAATCTCTTCCTGCAATCATATTCCTCGGCTGGGTTGTGTTTTCTCTGCAATTGGGTGGGAAATTGATGTAGAGAATTGTGAGTCTGCACTAAAGCAAGGGGTTAATTTATAGACGGGTAGAATTTAATAATGTGAACGGATGGTTATCGAGACACGGATTTTATGCGAGTTCACATTACTTTTTTCTGTTAGATTATTAGTATTTAGATTATAATTTTTTATTTTACATTGTAATTGATTATATTTAGTTAAGTTAATTGAGTTTTATACTTAGAAATATTAGTATTTATATATCTATATATAAGACATTTGTATATATAATAAAGACAAACAAAAAAAAGACCTTTCTTCATATTTTTTTCATACTTATTTTCTCATATGATATCAGAGCTCATTTAAACTTACACCTATAGATGACTCTTCATTTTTTGATCCTATGCACTATCGATAATTGATTGGTAGTCTAGTTTATCTTATCACTACATCTTATCATGACATGCTTTGATATAGCATTTGCAATTCCCATTGTTAATCAGTTTATAACTACTCTTTGCTCCACTCAGTATTTAGCACTCCTCGCTCCACTCATTATGTAGCAGTATTTCGTATTATTCATTATGTAAGGGTTGAGCTCAGATTGTTGACCTCTGCTGAAATGTGATCTGGAACTCCCCCAGCTCCATTGCCTACTTGATGAGCCTACCTAAGCACTCTGGCTTATGTAAAATCTACCTTAAAGGTTGGTTAATCAACACAACAATTGGTTAATCAACACAACAATAGGGTGGGATTGAAAGTATGGCTTCAGCTTTCTAGCCGTTGTGACAACTAACAGAGTTGCCTTTTTTGCTATGGAGTACCTTTGCTCAGCCCCTTATAACACTTTGCTAGCATAATACACTGGCCTTTGTTGCTTTCCCATTTCTCTAATCAAAACGGAGCTTACTGTTGTGTCAGATATCCCAAGGTAGAGGTAAAGAATCTCTCATCCTCTTCAGCCTTGGCAGCAAGCTGAGGTATGCCTTAAGCTCGTCGAAGGTTGCTTGACACTCCGAATTCCATTTAAACTTCTTGGGCTTCCTCGCTTTATCCTTATAGGTTGCGAACCTCAAGGTTCTAAAGAAGGGCAGGCATTTGTCTGCTGACTTAGAGATGAACCTATGCAGAGCTGTTTCTCGTCCTGTTAAGTGCTACACATCCATAATTGACCTCGGTGGTTTCCTCTTTCCTATTGCTTTTATCTTCTTGTGATTGACTTTTATCCCCTTCCTAGAAATCATAAATCCCAAAAATTTGCTAGATTTAACACCGAAAACACGTTTTGTAGGATTCAACCTCATGTTGTGCTTTTTTAAATTGTCGATTATCTTAGCCAAGTCAATCAAGTGGTCTTCTGCTTTGAGGCTTTTGACTACTATATCATCTACATAAACCTCCAGATTTCTACCAATCTGAGCTCAAAACACGAATGTTATCATTTTTTGATGTGTGCCCCCCACATTTTTTAGTCAAAATGGCATCATTACATAGTAGTAGATCTCTTCACCTTGTCTTTGGGTGCCACGTGGACCTAGTGGTACCCCGAGTAAGCATCTAAAAGACTCAACCTTTTATTCCATAAGGTAGCTTCTACTAGCTTGTCTATGTTGGGCATGAGATAACAGTCCTTGGGACGAGCATCATTGAGATTGGTGCAGTCAATGTACATCCTCCAGTTGCCATTTGACTTCACCAAAACTGGATTAGTGAGCCATTCACAGTAGTCTACCCTTCTCACAGATCTTACTTGCAAGAGCTTCTACACTTCTTCCTTGATGACTTTAAGCCTCTCCCCTCCGAATAGATGTCTTTTCTAGACAACTGGTTTCTTCAAAAGATTGGTGCTCAACTTGTGCACTGCAATCGAGGTTGGAATTCTAGGCATGTCAGTTGAGGTCCATGTAAATACACCCTTGTTCACCTTCAGGAAGCTTATGAGCTCCTCCCTCTCCTTTAGGCTCAGTTTTGTGCCAATTTGCGTCTTCTTGGTGGGATCACTATCATCAATCTGCACTTCTTTCACTTTTTCCACTGGGGTGGCCCTAGTCTCATCTTTAGGTCTATTATCTAGCAACTTATGCCCATTACCTGTTGGTTGCTTGGAGCCTTTGGCTGAGGTGGCTCTAATAGCTGAGATGCCTCTTTGTCTTTTCGAGGTTGGGCGACGGAGGTCATATAACAATGTCTTTCTATTTCTTGATTGCCTCTAAAAGTGGCCACTCCCATGGGTGTAGAAACTTCATGCATATATGAGATTATGAAACAACAGCTTTGATGTCGATCAAAGTAGGCCTCCCAATAATGATGTTGAAAGATGAAGCCATCTTCACAACCAAAAACTGAACTTAAGGAGTTATATATGTCCAACCTGAACTAAAGGTCACGTTGAGCCTTAGGACTCCTTCCACAAGGACTAGCTGGTTGTTAAACCCATAAATGGGGCCATCATATTTCTGCAAAAGAGCAGGATTGAGACTAAGGCTTTCAAAATAGTGCTAATACATAATGTCAAGAGCACTGCCGGTGTCAACAAGCACACGCTGCACTTTGCAATTATTGACGATAACAAAGGTGACTAACGGGTCATTGTGTGATGTGACAACACCATCTAGATCAACCAAAGTGAAAGTTATAGGTTGGCTCTTCCAATCTGCTTCATCGAACTTCCTCTTTTGAGCTTGGTTCTGATGCTTCACCTTTCTCATATACAGCTTTTGTTGCTTAGAGCTTGTCCCTCTTGCTTCGAGCCCACCATTTATCATGTGAATGATGTGTGAAGGTGAAGGAAGTGGGGTGGGGTTTGTTGGTAACCGACTCCGGTTTTATTGCTTGCATCTCGAGGTCCTTGAGATTGTTGTCCTTATTCTCGCACAAACTTGAGCTGATCTCTATTTGAGATGTACTCATTCAACATCCCTTTGTGAGCTAAATCTTCAAGCTCAGACTTCAAACTGTTACATTCTTCTGTGATGTGCCCGTGATCTTAGTGGAAGTCATAATACCTATTGTGATCTCTAGAAGTAGGTCAGCTTCGCATAGGTGGGGGCCTTTTGAGCTCCATCTTATTCTTAATCTACATCATAATTTGTGACCTCGGCAATGTGAATGGGGTCCAAGTGATGTGCTTTGTTGTGGTCTGTGAGGTATTTGAATTGGGCTTGTCAACTTTGGGAGTAGAAAGTGGGCCTCTATTCTGTATCACTCTGAACTTTTTCCTGCTCAACCTTTCTTCCCTCCAAGTCGGACTTCTGATTTCTTTACTAGGTTTGGGTTTGTCAAATAGATCATACTCTTCAGCTATGATAAACTTGCAGAACCTCTCATTAGCTTCGTCAAACATGGTAAGTGGATGCTTTATCAGGTTGTCCCAAAATCTCTCGTGCTTGAGACCTTGAATTATAGTAGATATTCCCATGACTTGATTCAATGAGCTGATTTCCAACATAGCATCGTTGAATCTGTTCATGTAATTCTTCAAAGACTCACCTTCCCTCTAAACTACTCTCATGAGCTCAAAGGTTGTCTTTCTTAATAATCGTCAACTTGAGAACTTAGTTGCAAAAGACGTTGCTAGCTTGGCATATAAATTGATTGAGTTCAGCTATAAGCTATAGTACCAAGTTCGAGCATTGCCTCTCAATGTAGAGAGAAATATTTTGCACATCAGAGCATCCGAGGCATTCTAAGCCTACATAGTAGAATAGAATGCATGCAAATGATCATCGGGATCTATGGTCCCATCATACGTCCCAAATTGAGGCATTTTGAATCCGGATGGGTATGGTTCTTGAATGATGTTGGTCTTAAAAGGAGTAGGCATAGAGGTTGAATTAGGTTAAAGCCGGAGGTGGCCCATTTCGGTTCTCGGCCATCATCTTTTCTAGGTTATTCAACCTCTTGGAAGCATCCGAAGCAACTGGTTGAGGTGGATTTGGAGGTGGAGGTGCCATGTGGGATTGGACTTGGGACTCACTTTAAGGTAGAGCGACACTTTAGATTGAAGAATTGACATTTTGCGGAGG